TAGGCATAAAGTCAAACCTTTTCCAAAAAACTTGAACAGCTATTTGAGTGACCAGTACCTCTGTTTTGCTCATCTAATAAATATCAGCATAACAGAGCAATTAAGTAAGCTGACTCTGGAGGGAGGTTGCCAAGGTTTGAATCCATAATATGTCACATACTAGCCTTGTGACCTTGGAAAGTTATTTAGCCTCTCTGCCCCTCAGTCTCTGCATCTGTAAAATGGAAAACATACTAGGATTAGTGTAAATAATAAAATGTATAAATATACAGCACTTAGACCTGTGCCTGGTACACTGCCAGCACTCAAAAAATGTTAGCTACTATCATTATTTATTGCATTTCTTTAAAAAAAAAAGTAGGTACAAATGATCTCTCTGGAAAGTCAGCAAAACTTCTCATGAAAGCAGGGGAGTCAACAGTGAGAATAAGCACCAATATCATTGACAGGCTGTGCACCACACAAATGTGAAAGCCCCACAGTTGTTTACTTTCCTCTACCATAAATATTAGAGTCAGAGGTTTCAAGATTTTGCTAAGCCAGTTCCTGCTACATTAAAAAATGGTAACATAAGATGGTTTGGTGGGCTGTCAAGTCATGGGTTGTATAAACACTAGTTTACAACAAAACGACTGTAAAAGTGATATGCTTTTTATTGGTTATGTTTTTGTTATATTAAATTTTATTTGAGGCCTTCTATTTCTCTAGCTGTAAATAACAGGGAGAAGAGTCTATTTGAGAGCCAAGAACCAAATTTAAATAAACTATAAATTTCTCAACAGAAAATTCAGCTCAACCTCTTTTTATGTGCAAGACCAAACACAGTATACTTTATAATCTGAAAACCAAACACATCACAAGCAAACTAGGTTCTAATCCTAGCTCTACCACTGTTATCTGTGTAGGCCAAAATATTGCATCTCTCTCTCAAAGAAAGATATAATAATACTAATCTCACAAAACTAAAAAGAAGATTAAATGACATAAATATTAGTGACAAACAGTACTTGTAATTGTCAATAAATAATACAGGAAAGTATCATTTATTCTAGTTCACACACACACACACACACACACACACATACACACACACACACAATAAAGAAAAAAAGAACCTGAACCAAGGAATAAGAGAAAGAGCATAAAAAGAAACTAATTTAAAATTCCTTCTGTGAAAGGAAAAAAATGTGATAGCTGGGAAAAAATAAAGATAAATAAAATGCTAATTTACCTAAGCAAAGAAGTATGAGGAAAAGCCAAAGACATTTATTACATAACAAAGAAATCTGGAAAGAAACTATGTATTTCTCAATCATTATTAGAGATGAAGTCTATATGTAATTAGGAACTCCAAAGAGCATGTAACTATGATGGAATAACATACTCAACCAAAGTAGGCTCTGAGACTCTATAATTTAAAATTATTATAATATTATAAACTATATAAACTAATATTTGGAGTAAGCTTAAAACAGATTGGAATAAATTCTATGGATTTTACACTGAACTATTAATATACTTTGTTCTTTATGTTACATATATGGGAATTAAAACATTTAAAAAATAATAATAGTGCCATGTAAAGGATGTAAATAATCTACACATCAAAAAACATTTATTGTTTCATTCAACAGATATCTACTGATTGTTGACTAAATGAAAAAGTATTTTACAATACTGGTAATCAAATAAAAGCACAGTAAAAAAAAAAAACTACCATTTTTAACCTTTAAAATTAGCAACTAAAATATAATTCCCAGTACTGGGAAGAATACAGTCAAATAGTCACTCATATACAGGAGTGTAACTGGTACAAGTTTTCTGGATGGTGGTCAGAAAAGTATATCAAAGCTTTGGTGGGATTCACCCCAGGGATGCAAGGATGGTACAATACTCATAAATCAGTAAATGTAATACATCACATAAACAAAAGCAAAGACAAAAACCACATGATCATATCAACTGATGCAGAAAAAGCATTTGATAAGGTATAGCACCCATTTATGATAAAAACACTCAGCAAAGTGGGAATAGAGGGAGCATTCTTCAACATAATAAAGGTCATATATAAGAGACCTACAGCCAACATCATATTCAACCGGCAAAAGCTAAAATCTTTTCCACTAAGATCAGGAACAAGGCAAGGTTGTCCACTTTCACCACTTCTATTCAACATAGTATTGGAAGTTTTAGCCACAACGATCAGACAAGAAAAAGAAATAAAAGGCATCCACATCGGAAAGGAGGAAACAAAACTGTCACTGTTTGCAGATGACATGATAGTGTACATAGAAAATCCTACAGACTAGGCCAAAAAGCTGCTTGAGCTAATAAATGAATTTGGCAAAACAGTGGAACAAAGTCAATATCCAGAAATCAAAAGCACTTTTGTATACCAACAATGAAACAGCAGAAGCAGAAATCAAGAAAAAAATCTCATTTGAAATAGCAACAAGAAAAAAAACATATCTAGGAATAAACCTAACCAAGGAGGTGAAAGACCTGTATTCAGAAAACTACACAACACTGAGGAAAGAAATCAAGGAAGACACAAACAAATGGAAACATATACTGTGTTCATGGATTGGAAGAATTAACATCATCAAAATGTCCAAACTACACAAAGCAATTTACAGATTCAATACAATACCTATTAAAGTACCAATGGCATATTTCACAGACATAGAACAAACACTTCAAAAATTTATATGGAACCATAATCAACCCCGAATAGCTGCTACAATTTTGAGAAAGAAGAGTAAAGTAAGAGGGACCACAATACCTGATACCAAACAGTATCACAAGGCCACTATAATCAAAACAGCCTGGTAATAGGCACATAAAAATAGGCACATGGACCAATGGAACAGAACAGAGAGCCCAGAAATAAACCCAAGTGTCTATGGTCAACTAATATTTGACAAAGGAGGCAGCAACGTAAAATGGAGTAAAAATAGCCTCTTCAACAAATGGTGTTGGGAGAACTGGACAGCTACATGCAAAAAAATGAAATTAGAGCATCAACTTACACCTTACACAAAAATAAATTCAAGGTGGATAAAAGATTTAAACATAAGCCGTGAAACCATTAAAGTCCTAGAGGAGAACATAGCTAGGAAAATCTCAGATACTTCACACAGCAATATTTTCACTGATATGTCCCCTAGAGCAAGGGACATAAAGGAAAGAATAAACAAATGGGATCTCACCAAAATAAAAAGCTCTGCACAGCTAAAGAAAACAGTATTAAAATAAAAAGAGAACCAACCATATGGGAAAACATATTTGCCAATGAGACCTCAGACAAGGGTTTAATCTCCAAAATATATAAAGAACTTACATGACTCCACTCTGAGAAGACAAGTAACCCAATTAAAAAATGGGCAAAGGACTTGAACAGACACTTCTCCAAGGTGGACATACAGAGGGCCCAGAGACACATGAAAAGATGTTCAGTATCACTAGCTATCAGAGAGATGCAAATTAAAACTATAATGACATACCACTTTACACCAGTCAGAATGGCCATCATAAACAAAGCAACAAACAAGTGTTGGAGACGTTGTGGAGAAAATGGAACCCTAGTGCACTGTGGGTGGGAGTGAGAACTGGTACAACCACTATGGAAAACAGTATGGAATTTTCTCAGAAAACTCAAAATGGATCTGCCTTTTGACCCTGCAATTCCACTGCTGGGATTCTATCCTAAGAACCCTGAAACACCAATCCAAAAGAACCTATGCACCCCAATGTTCATAACAGCACAATTTGTAATAGCCAAGTGCTGGAAGCAACCTAGGTGTCCATCAGGAAATGAATGGATAAAAAAACTATGGTACGTTTACACAATGGAATTCTATGCAGCAGAAAGAAAGAAGGAGCTCCTACCCTTTGCAACAGCATGGATGGAACTGGAAAGCATTATGCTAAGCAAAATAAGCCAGGCGGCTTACAAATACAAATACCACATGATCTCACCTTTAACAGGAACCTAATCAACAAAACAAACAAACAAGCAAAATATAACCAGAGACACTGAAATAGAGGACAGGTGACCAGAGGGGAGAGGGGAGGGAATTTCAGGGAAAAGGGGAAGGGTTTGTAGGAAGAAGTATAAAGGACACATGGACAAAAACTAGGGTGGGATGGAAATGGGAAGGAGGAGGGGAGGGCTTGTGGGGTGGGCTGGGATGGGAGTAAAAGACAGAAAACTGTATTTGAACAACAATTAAAATAAAATTAAATTAAAAAGAAAAAAGCTTTGGAAGTGTCTGTGCTCTTCCATCCATTAATCCACTTCTAGGAATTTAGTATGAGGAGATAATCAGACTAACTGTGTATTATGAGGAAATAATACACAATGACTGACATATTTACAATATCAATGCATATTTACAATAGTAAAAAACTAATGATCTAAATCTCTAAAGGGAATTAATTAAATAAATTGTAATATAGCCCTATAAAGGAACATAATGAACCATTCTTCTCATTTTAGAGAAAATGATTCAGTGACCTGGAAAAATGATTGTAAATTTCAGACTACAAAATACTATGTATGACTGTAATTTCCTTTTATACAGACAAATATATAAATATACAACCAAAAACTGGAAGGCTAAATACCACATTGTTAACAATAGATTTCTCCATGTAATGCTATGTCTTATTTTCTTAACTATATATATTTTTCCATTATTTTCCGAATTTCCCATAATAACCATGTATTATTTTTTATAATGAAGTGGTCTTGTGGTTTGCACCCTAAACACCCATTCCACCTAAGTTGATCAGGGAAAACTCACACCACTTGTCAGTGACTGTACTCTAACCAAAATGTTACAAGGAGTTACAAGAAGACATCTGGAATGGGAGCTTCCAGGACAGGTTTCCTGGAGAGCTTTCCATGCTCCTGAGAAGGAAAGTGGAAGAAATGTTGCTCTTCTGAATATGATCAGATCTAGATTAATTCATTTATTTATTATTCAATACACACTTACCTGAACACCTACTATGCAGTTCTTAGGCCATCTCTAAATATGGAGATTATGTTTATTTCCTGGAGTCCTAAAATAGTAACTTCAACAGTTAAATCCAAAAATCTAAATTATCATCCATCTTCCACTTTGTTCTTCACAGGTAAGAGAATTTGTTGGATAAATGGTGGTACTGTATAAGAAAAGAAAACAAACTTACCGTAACAAAAAAGCTAGGTTACACAAAACAAAACAAAACAAAATAAAAAAAGACAAGGCAGCTTCAGACCATCACTGCCCTATAACATATTATGTACAATACTAGAAAAGGTAAGAGGAATATGAAAGTCTGGAAGGAAGGTTAAGAGTTCTATGACTCTCATGCTAACTTTAAGGCTATGAAAGAAACACATGAATCTCTCATTTCAATGCAACTAAGAATATACTAAATCTAACAGAAGTTGCTACAATCACAGAGGAATTTTAAGTGCCAAGTGAAAATCTTTTTTTCAAAAGCAATTACACAATTCCCTTTTAAAACACCATCCTAAAATTGGGATGACCTGGGGGCTGGCCACCATTATGAATTACTATACAGCTTTGTAATATATAATGCCCTCAGGGATCACTGGGGTACGTATAGTTCCTTGTCCCTACACTAAATGGCCCCAGGTGGCTATATGGTTTTATTTGACATTTATTGGTTCATGTTGTAATCTGGAAAAATGCTAAGAAAATAGAAAGCATCCATAGTTACTAGTATTTTTCAAAAATTAATTTTTCAAAGGTAACATGGACATGTTATAAATCACCTTAAATACTAAACAATTCATTCCTGATTCATTTCTATAAAAACATATCAAATACACTAAGGTTATTAGAGGAAGTAAATAGCTTCCTCCTCAAGAGGCTTTCTTAATCTACTGAAATAAAAATGATGATGATTAAATAATAATTATTATAGCAGCTAACACTTATACAGTACTTATTCTACACCAAGGACAATTACATGAAATTGAGAAATGAAGGTTGAATATAAACAGTAACTTGTTTGTTTTTATTCATATCAAAAGCAAATTTTTCAGGAACCTCAACCTAACATCTTGGGTCTTTCCTAAAGGAAGAACTATCACTGTATTCTGAGCACTTTCATTCTTCATTTATGTCCACTCTGCTTACTTCCTCTCTCAAGACTCTCCAACAACCTGGTCTCATGCCACATCATCAGCATCAACAGTCTCATTCTAAGATTCTCAGTAGGCCTTCCAACTGTCAGAGACAATCTCTCTGTCCGCTGTTCCTATTTAACACATCCCAGGTTTACCCACCCAAACTTTTGTAAGGAAACCACAGACAATGTCTGCCTCTGCCAAAGGATAAAGAAAGCAAAATGTTTTCCACACGTTTAAAAGGAATTCCATTTGTCAAATCAATCTGATGATGCTGGATGAATTGAACATTTCCATCTCACCACCTTACCACCCACTATTTAATATGAAATTGCATAATATCCAAAATGGAAACCATTCAAATTTCCTTCAAGGAGCTAAACTGGAAATTTTTCCTTTTTGTTGACAACTAAAAGTCAGACAGTTCTAAACAAGAACTGCATATCTGTGTGTGTGTGTTTGCTGAATATGAATGCATTTCTATTTCTCTTGTCATATAAAAATTCTAGGTAGATATCCAAGATAATGGGTCTTTATATTCCTTTGTCCTATAAAAATTCAAGATATATTCCCAAGATAAGTATCTCAGATAAGATTTTCTTTTTACTATTGCTAGTAGTAAAATCAGGTTTACTACTAGTTGATAAGGTTTCCCCATTTTTCCCAAATTCAATTCATAACTTCTCTCAAGAGCTCTGAAATTTCTCAGTTGCAGAGATTCATGTTCCCAGTTACTAAAAATCTGTGTACTGGAACAGGGATATATGACATAAAAGTAAAATGTTTGGCATTTAATATTAATGAATGGGATAAGAGTTGTTTCTTTTTATGTAAAAACATTCTTGCTTTCTCCAAAACATAGGCTAATGTTTCAGCAAGAAAGACTAATTTGTAAAGTATGATTTTATTTACAACTTCACACTCCAAGTTGAGCATGTCTTTTTTTACATACGTAAGTTGTGTCTTTGCTAAGGCCATATATAGGAGAAAACTCAACTTTCCATTGCTGTTGTAATAACCATTTGTTCCAGCAGATCTTAAACAGCTTTAAATAAGATGTTGATGTATTTTATTTATCTGTCCACATACTTGAAACCCAGTGGACCATTTCAAAGCTGTGACTTTATCTTAGCATGCAATGATAATGAACTCCATTAGCAAGTTATACTCTCATACAGGTACCTGTGGTTGTGTGTTCTACATAAATTTCCTTTTACATGTTCTCATAACAGGTAACACAGCACTTAGCATGTGGTTCCTGATATCCTACATTATGAAGCTCTTGCCATGACACATATTTCCTATGCCTTCCACCTTGATTAAAGTTTGTTGATAACTTGCATCCAGTGCTTCTATCTGACCAGTCCTACAGCACTGCACTTTTTCTCATTTCCAATCACACTCCTCTTTCCTCACAGTTTTCTGCTGCTCCAAGTTTTATTTCATGTCAGTTTCATTTCAATCTATGGTTTCTCCTTCTATATTTTATTAGTGTGTCTCCACAGTTTCTCAGAAAAACTACAGGGGGTTCAGCATTTCATTTTTTAATTTTCTGAATCGGTAAAATGCCCACTGAGATAAATGCTCAGAAGTATATATAACTCACACATAGCACTATCTGTCTCCTGCCATTGAAGTATACATAAATTAACAGGCACAGTTATTCCTCAGTGTCTGTTGGGGAATGACTAGGTCAGGAACCCTCACAGATACAGAAATCACAAATGTTCAAGTCCCTTATATAAAATGGCTCAGTATTTGCATATAACCTTTATCTGCATATAAGCTATAGCAGGGTACATCTACACCTCAATCACTACATGATGATTCAGCAAAGGGCTCAGCACAAAACTTCAAAATTTCAGTGGTTTGCTTTGTGTGGGGGTAACTACAGCTCAGTCCAAGAGGTCCAAGAGGATACTCTGGGAAATGATATTTCCCAGACATTCCTTACAAACAAAATATATTGTGAAACTGTAGAAAACTAAAGGCAAAGGAGAAATCCTAAATAAAGACAGTCACAATGTTCTGAATGAAACGGCTGACTCAGAATGCTAACCCAGCAAAAATATTTTTTAAAAAGAAGCAGCAATAAAAACATTATCAGGCAGATTGTAAAAGTAAGAGAGGTCACCAATAAACCAACAGAGAAAAATTCTAAGAAAAGTTCTTCAGGTAGAGGAAAAGTATCCCAGGGGAAAGGTGGAAGTAGAAGAGGTAATAAAAAACCAAGGGGAAAAAACAATTGTTCTAAAGGAATTCAATTGTTCTGAAGTCTTTATTTTGCCCAAGAGAAGACAAAAGGTAATTTCAGACTTTTATAAATTAAATATGTATGTTGCAATTACTAGGATAACCATTAAAAGAACAGACATGCAGTATGTAAATTTTGAAACAAACAGAAATAAATGTGGAATCCCTTTTTCAAAATCACCAATCAAAAGAAATGTAAGAAATTTTGGAGAGAAAATGGAATACAAACTAGTTGGAACTAAAAGAAGAAAGAAAATAAAAGGCAGACTTAAATCCAACTATATACTGGTCACATTAAATGTAAATGACTAAATGATCTAGCTAAAAAAAAAAGACGATCAGGTCAAACTTTTAAAATTCAAAAGTAGAGTGTTTATCAGAGTGAAAACTAAAAATTAAGGATAAAGAAAGGCTGAATATGACTACAATCAATAACAAACAGAAAGAAAGAAATCATTAAAAAGCTGATATAGCTATTTCTATTAAATAAAATTGGCTTTCAATAAAATCATTCCCAGAGAGAATCACTACACAATGACAAAATCTGTATCACCAGAATGCTATAATAATTTTCAATTTGTATGCCAAAAAATACAGTATTTTACTAGATAAAGCAAACATTGACAAAACTCCAAAAAGAAATGAAATAGTTCCACAATCAAAACAAGTGGGATGTAATTAAAGTATTTACAGCTGTATAGGTGTATATTTTTTAAAAGCCTTCAAAATTAATGTGCTCTAAACTTATACCGAATACAAAATTAATAAAACTATATAATTCCTAGAAGAAACCACAGGGAAAAAGCTTCATGAAACTGGTTTTAGTAAAGAATTCTTCTTAATATATGACATTAAAAGTTGAGGTAACAAAAGAAAGAAAAAGAAACCAGACTTCATAAAAATTAAAAACTTTTGTTCATCAAAGGGCATTATCAAGAGAGTTAAAAGACAAAACAAAAAATAAGAAAAAAGTATTTGTTTTTTTGTTTTTTTGTTTTGATTTTCTTTTAATCATTCTTCAAGTACAGTCTTCTCCCATTTGCTCACATTCCAGCCCACCCACCCAACCCTCCCTACTTCCCTCCCATTACCCCCCACCCCCAGTTTTTGTCCATGTGTCCTTTACACTTCTTCCTGCAAACCCTTCCCCTTTTCCCTGAAATTCCCTCCCCTCTCCCCTCTGGTCACCTGTCCTCTATTTCAGTGTCTCTGGTTATACTTTGCTTGTTTGTTTGTTTTGTTGTTTAGGTTCCTGTTAAAGGTGAGATCATGTGGTATTTGTCTTTCACGGCCTGGCTTATTTTGCTTAGCATAATGCTTTCCGGCTTGATCCATGCTGTTGCAAAGGGTAGGAGCTCCTTCTTTCTTTCTGCTGCATAGAATTCCATTATGTAAATGTACCATATTTTTTTTATCCATTCATTTCCTGATGGGCACCTAGGTTGATTCCAGCATGTAGCTATTGTAAATTGTGCTGTTATGAACATCAGGATGCATAGGTTCTTTTGGATTGGTGTTTTAGTGTTCTTAGGATATAGTCCCAGAAGTGGAATTGCAGGGTCAAAAGGCAGATCCATTTTGAGTTATCTGAGGAAGTTGCATACTGCTGTTCATAGCGGTTGACCCAATCTGCAGTCCCACCAACAGTGTACTAGGGTCCCCTTTTCTCCACAACCTCTCCAACACTTGTTGTTTGTTGCTTTGTTTATGATGGCCATTCTGACTGGTGTGAGGTGGTATCTCATTGTGATTTTAATTTGCATCTCTCTGA